TCCAAAAGTAAATTTAGGATACAAGTACATGACATAATATTGATTGTAGTAAATAAATTTCAACAAAAAAATAATTGTATCAAAAGTTATTAGCGTTATCAATTAGATCTGACACACTCTTTATATTTTATATTTTACAAACAACAAATTTACTGATTATTATTAATTATTTAAATTGAGTCAGATTTGTAAAAGCAATAAATTAGAGCAAATCAATTTTTTTTTGGATTAACCTCTTACTTTTATCTTTTTAACTAGGTTTAATAAGAAAAAAATTAATTTAAAAAGAGATAATATTTTACGTCATAATACGTTTTAATGGAAAGAATCAAGTTCCTTTTAGGTATCTCTTTATTAGCATAAATATAGTTAGTAATTTTTAAATAGTCTTAAACGAACTATAAAAGTTGAAAGATTTACTTTAAGGTATAACTTTAACTTCTTGAATTTTTATGAAGATATCAAGTAGATAGCAAAACAAAAATTATTCTTACTTTTGTGTTGATTATTCAAGTCAACTTATAAACAAATAATAATTACTGTTTCAGGTAGCTGTAAGAATACGACCATTGCCAAAGAATGAAATGGATAGATGCCTATATGTGATAGATTCTAAGGTAAGCGATAAGATAAAAAAAAAATTACAAAATGCCTTTAAAGTCTCTGAAAACAATAATTGTGCATTACAATTGGAATATGATATTATTATATCATTAGCTTGTTAAACAATTGTTGGTTGCTTTTCGCTTTTAATTGTTGTTATATACTCAGGAACAGCATTTAGCACAGACAACCAAAAACCTAGCATAATGAAAACGTGGCAAAATTAGGACAAGTATAGATGCTATCTGACAATAATTGAAATTACTTTCATAAAAAACGCTTCGTTGCAAATCTTTAAATAGTGTTTAATTTTTAGAAACAATTTTCAGATTCATTAAAAAACAACATCAAAACTTTATCCTGATTACAAGTTTTATGATTTATATGCATTAATAAATTTAATTCAGTTATTCCAAACACATAACTAGCCAGTATAAATTTTTATTAATAGGATTGGAAACTTAATGCTAGTAATGTTATTTAACTGTGGTTTAATGTTCGGAGGATTAAAGAGGTTTATTCCTCGTAAAACGAAAAATAATTCAATTAATAAAAAAAAGGTTTTGATTATTCTGACTCTCATTAGTTAATTATAATTTTAGTTATGGAATTGAAATTGTAATTTTTAATAAGCCATTGATAGCTTAATATTTATTTTTAAAAAAGGGAAGCTCTTTCTTATTAATATACATTTTGAATGGACAATAACTGCTGCAAACATTTTTCCTGAAAATACTTATATAATTCTTATTATTGTTATTTTTTTGTAAAGGAGCAGTTAAATTGGAATACTTAACTATCTCATTTATGTGTCTGTACTGTTTGACCTTAAGTGTAGGAATAAATAATTGAAAAAAAAAGTAAAAAATTATAACTACACAAAAAACGGTGATTTTTTACAGAATAACACATTTTTTTGTTTAATTTCTGGGGCCGTATAAATATAGAAAAAAAGTTGTCAGTACAACATTTTTTTAAACATATAGTATGTAACGTATTCGTAAAATTTGGAGTATTTTCAGAACATTTTCTAAAGTTAAATTATAAAAGTTATACTCTTTATACGATATTTCAAAAAAAATTTTTTTGACCTTTGAAACATAAGCACTCCAATTCAAATACTATTCTACTGATGGCGGCATGTGTGTGAATGTTTACATGTTATGTACATTTTTCATAAGAAAAAAAAATGATATCTTCAAATTTTTTAATATTCCACTCGTATGTTTCTAAGGCACTAAAATTGAAAACAAAATTATTTTTAAGCGAAGAGCGTTCTCATGGAAGGTTATGGAAGATTAGTTCCTCCCCATGATAAAAATAAATATGCGGTAAAGATTAATTTTCGAGGGCTAGTAAAAAATTGTTTTTTTTTTTTAATGCTTTGTATGTCTTCCTCCAAGACAAAACCTTGAAAACTTCACTGTTTAAAACTTTATTATTATTTAATAAATAGAACGAGTCATTATTACAATTTTTTAATTCTGAATCAAAACTGTATTTTTATAAACTATATTTGTTATATAAAATAAATACAGTTATAAAACTATATTTGCATAGATTAAAATAATATTAATAATAATTAATTACTATATAAATAAAGAAGTTCAATAGTAGGTATAATATTATTCCTAGGGGTGTGGTGTAGCGTAGTGGATCAATCAGTCGTCTCCTTAATGCTGATGTTCAGCTGCGCTGTATATCTGGATGGATAACCACAAAGAACCTTTAACAGTAACATGCACCTTGTTCACCTTTCTAGTTTTCTTAGTCATAATAAAGTTGTGTCAGGTCGATAAAAATTCGTAAATTTCCTGTCAAATCATTATAAGATAGAACTGACCCTAAATTGTTGGGATAGAAGCTAAGAAAATGTTGTATAAAATTATTCTTAATACGTTTATGAAATACTTATTGACCGTTGCAATAAACTTTTAGTTTAAAATTATCTTAAATTAAGTTTTAAAACTTAATAAAAAACAATTTATCAGAGAGCAATAAATTTTACATATATCTATCAAAAACTACTATTTTATAGGGAAATAAATTGACTTTTACTTGAATGAAAGTATGCTTTTTTCGAAATGTATCTATTGTTGCATTGTGGAATTAAATACTCTACTTATTGCGATAAAGCCAAAAGTTCGTTTAAATATACAAAAAAGTATACGACATAGAATTATTATAGTTAAATCAATAATAATTTTGTAAACATTTTTGTAATTTTATTAATATCTCATTGAGTATTATTTATACTGTTAAACATTTACATAAAAATTAATTCATATTAAACACTCGATAATAATATTGATAATCCTAATTGGGGTTGCGTTTTGATATAAAATAGTTGTTTGTTCCTCGATATTCAAGGTTAAATAATACAGATAATCGATACATAATTTCGCCGTAATTATATTTTTAGTAGCTATCTTTTTTCGAATTTTGACTTGATATATTTTATTTACAACGAAATTCTATTTTTTTTTTTTTGTAGCTGGTTTATTTGAAGATTTCGTAAACATAACATTTTTTGTGTTCTTAAATAATATTTAATTCTTTGAAAATTTTAATAGATAATATTGTAATAGGCTTGTTTCTGTATTCTCTGATATTTATATTTATCTAGAATGTATACAGAATTTTATAATGAGAAGATTACAAAAAAATTGCTATATATTGTCGTCAATATGTTTAAGAACCATTTTTGTCAATCTCCTTATTTTATTTCTTTAATTGTGAGTCCACGTGTATCTGTGTCCCTCTCTCAAAATAAATATTGATATTTATATAAAATAAGATATTGTATTCTATCCATTTTTACTTTCAAAAATAAATTATCAGGAGATTTTTGTACAACTGTCAATATCGTATCCATAGGATTCGCACCTTCTCCCTTCTCTACGAAATTAATATGTGGACATGACATTAGCATCAATTTATTTCTAAAATATTCTGGATAGTAAGCTTAGAGTTCAATAACTAGGTAAATCGCGAAATTGGAAATAAAAGATCAATTTTGTCATAAATACTTATAAAAATTTTTCTGTTTTGCCTTTAAACAATTTTGTTCATTTTAATCCCAGTACTATGACTAAAGTGAACATAGTGGCCAATTATATTACCCGTATACAATCATCATAATCATCAATAGTATCTCAATATTAGCCTCTCTGCCAACTATTTGAGGTCGGCTCTACTTTACAGTGATTCGACAAGATTTTTACATCAGCTGTTGAGCTGACAAAACCTCATTATGACCGAGTAAACCAGAAAAGGGGGTAAGATATGTATTATTGTTAAAGTTTCCATATGGTCACCCACCCGAGTGACAGTACAAACAGCGCAACTGAATATCAGCGCTTAGGCGACTACAGAATGATCAACTGCGCCTCACCACGCCTCAATTACCTGTATAAAATATATAATATAATATAAATGTATATAATTATTAAAAATATAGAAACTTTATACGTTCTTTTTTAAATTTATAATACTACAAAACAGGCTATTATGCTGATATGTCGCTTCGTGCTGCATTTTCTTCGAACTGTGCAACCATAAAATTTAGAATGAACGGCTGATTCCTAGTAGATTATATTATCATCTTTTGACTTTTTCAACTATATTACATAAAAATGCATATATTTTAGAAGAATAGGTTGTACTGGTCAAAAGTAATTCACGACTTAGTTGTATGCAAATTTTTCGTACCTTTGCGATGCTAAATTTAACCAAGACACGCGACTTTACACAATGGCGTTGACCTAAATCCATTTTTATGAGGTATTTTAACATTTGTGGTCAAGTTAAAGAATCATTATTTCTTATCAAGATCAAAAGTAACTCAGTGACCTCTTAAGATTTATTTTAGTGTTAATCATAGAACACTATATTAAGAAAATAATAATAATTGCGCCAAATACCTTTTTATTAAAATTCTTCCTATGTTCATATTATATTGCTGACTAGATAAAATAAAATATTGTTTAAAATTACTCATTGTTTTATAAAAATATCGAATTTTGTTGTTAATAGTCCAAAACTAATATTTTAACAAAAATAATTTTCAGGTACGTATACTTATAATTTACAACATCATTTAATTTTCATTCAATATGTTGAAAATATAGCTATTATCTTAATATGATCAACAATATTAATAATTTTATATAAAATATGTCAATTTTCAATCATACTATTTATAGTTTAACGCTAAAACTATTTCAAAGGTATATTATCGATATTGCGGTTTATTTTTAAGACTTGGAATTGTTAAAATATATTGCATAATTATTGGAAATCATTTGATTATATAAAAATTTCATTTACAGTAGTAGTATACCTAATTATAAAAAGTGATTCTAAGAAGTAAGAAAACAAAAAAAAAATGCAGAAAATATTGACTTGAAAATTTATTCATGAAAGTACAAAGTTTATAATAATACATTATGAAATTGTTTTAAAAAAAAGATAACCAGTTGTACCATAATAACTTAAGTAGATTAACATTATTGTCTTGATGAGTGTCAGAAGAATATTTCATGGGTAGTATGCGTATGGTGACGCAAAAGTTCTTGCTACGTATGGGTATGCGTTATATGATGAAACATATGGTGCAGCATAGGGAGCAGCTACAGCGTAGGGAGCAGCAGCGTATGGAGCAGCAGCATATGGAGCAGCAACATAAGAAGCTGCATATGGGGTAGATAGAGCGTAAGGGGATGCTACCAATGGAGTAGCTAGAAGTCCACGTTTGCTTCGGTCAGTGGCGGCGGCAGCTGGTTGAGTAGAAGATTGTTTTGCTTCTTCGGCAGCAGCAGTAGCAAAGCACATAGCCACAGCGAGTAAAACGAAAGAAATCTAAAATGTTAAAAAAGAACAATTAGTAAATAAAAATACGTTTTTATTTTTATACATTCACTGGCGAAAATTAAAAAGAGCCAGAAAAGTTTAGCTTTTCGAATTTGACAAGTACTATACAAATTAATATTCATTTATGTGAGTGAGGAAAACTTTTAGGTCTTAGGTGCTTGCAGTTACATTATTTACTAGTTCTAAAAGTATAATCAATATCCAATTTCTACTGAAATAGTTATTAATCTAACTAAATTTAGGTAATGAGTTACAAAATTGAATACTTACTTGAAATTTCATGTTGACTTGTTGGTCTTTTGAAGTCTTTAGCGAATGAAAGAATTATTAATCATATAAATGAAAATAAGATGAGTGATATATTCTGTTGACTTAGTAGTCTTTTATATATACTGGAAACGTGACCATGCAACGCCCAATTGTTATTCTACGCCAATTATATCAATTGTTACACCATAGGTAACATATGCCAAAACAGTAGGCAGCAGTTATAATTTGATAACTTATGATACGGGACAATATTCATACACAATTAATACTATTGCCAAAAAAAAAAGTCTATTTCTTGAAGAAATATCGGATTAATATCTTCATGTGTTACCCTTTTCTTTCTCAATTTGAATCAATCATATTATTTAATATTTATGTAATGAAATAAAAATTCATCAAAATTTGAAAAATTATGAAATTTTTATATATTTGGGTACTTATAATAATTTTATCTTTATTAATTAAATAATGAACTAATAAAACTAAAAGAGACAAAAAATCAATGCACACTAAACCCAAGAAGTTCAAATATGAACTATTAACGATATATTTTTACAATTTTTTTTTAAATTTAAAGTAAAATAAGATCATATCGATTTTAAGTTGTAAAAAAAGATAAAAAAAAACTGAATATTTTCGAGAATTTAAAAAAAAAACAGTTTTTTTCAAACATAAAAACTGTAAATAATTGAAAAATATATTAATTAATATAAATTGTTTAATATTAATAACACTAGTATTCAACTTATAAAGATGATAAGGCTTCAACCCTGCCTAACAGGGTGAGATGAATCTCTAAAAATAATGCCAATACTAGCGGTACTAACTGCAATGAGTAAACAAACAAAATCAATAAATTTTTACAAAAAAAAAAGTTTTATTTACTTTAAGAGTGTATTGATTAACAATACAATAGTCCAGTGAAATTGAGTATTCCATTATGTAAATGTATTTTTTAATTTTTCCAAATTTCAATATTTCTTGAAATTTTAGAATCTCCATTAATTAAGTGTTCAAAATTTGCTTCTAAGATACTGGTTCACAAATACAACATTTATCTATTAATATCTTATTAAAAAAGTTGACTTATTTCTACATTTTTAATACTACCAATAGGAAAATAAAATAAACTTATTTACCTTTGAAAAACCTATTTAATTTATGGACGTCCAATTTATTCATTTACATTTAATGCTTTCTTTAAAAGTTATTACTCGTGTTATCGTCATGGGATGATGGGAAAACCTACTTAGCACAACGGGATTGAATTTAGTATCTAAGTACTGAGGCATAACGCGTATTGACTGAAATAGATAGACTGTCTAATTTAGGTTTATAATGTTAAAAATAAAGAAATAAACTCAATTTATGTTTTGCGTGATAATTTAGTTAAGTTTAATGTTGAATTAAAAAATTATTACAATTCAGAGTTCCATATTCATTGCATTTCAGTGTTTTTCAAACTTAAAAAATTTTGGTGCATGAAATTTTTACCAATAATTAATAAATAGTTATTTATTAAGAATGATTACTTTTGTTGCTCATTTAAATAAAAAAATAGTTACTACGTGATTAAAATTTAAAATATGTAACGATTGTTATCACTGTCCCATTTTAAAAAACACAATCACGTACATAAATATGCAATCCAATTGCTTTAAAGCCGTTCAACATAAATAGCATTTATAATTACACTAATAATATCAATAAAGATAATTTTATACAGCCCTTGACATATTATTATATAATTATTGTTAAATATTTTTACAGCAATATCAATTTAAAAATTTGAAATAAGATAATCAATTTAACTCCCTATAATAAAAGTATAGTATTCATTTTTTTTACTGGCATAATGAAAAAGATTCTTTGGTTAATGTTTAAACAATGAATTTTAATTGATATATATTTAAAATAGGAAATAGTTATTATTTATTTACATTAAATTATAAAAAAAAATCAAGTTATATTTATTTATCATTAATTTGAAATGACCAAAATATAATAGTTAATTAATTTAATATTTTTTTTAATAAATGAACTACAGGTGTATATAAGAATACTATCTATAGAATAACTCATGTTCCGATTTAAGATAAGACATTATGACTCAATAACCAATTTCAAAGCTATGAAATTTCATTAAAAGATAATTCACCTTCAACAGCTTCAATGTCTTTTCTATCTATATACTGTATTCCACCCACGTGGTAATTGTTTGTTTGGCTATGGTGTTGAATACATTTTGTCCTAAGATATAATCATGCATAAAGAAAAGACACACAATACTTCACATTTGAGTATGTAAAAATAATAATCAAAAATGACAATTTTTCAACACATCAATAACCAAAATTTAGTTTATTGTTTGAAAGAAAAATTTCAAATGAAATAGAGAAATTATGATAAATGGTAAATACCGAGAATAACTATATTAAAAAACAAAAACAATCTTTTTGATTTAACAACTTAAAATGTACTCAATAAAGTTAACATATCAAAGGATGTATTTTTTGAAAATACTTAATTATATTATATTAGTATATTAGGCCCGCACCGATTTATTTAACTGCTCATTTGTGTAATGTGCAAATGTAAATTGGGCACATTTTTGGCAATCTTTATTCTTTGCAACAAAAATTTTTAAATTTGAATTGAACTTATATGACATTTTAAGCGTTTCAACTGTTTACTTAGGTTTTAAACAGGTTTTTTTTAATCGTGTTTTTAAGAACCCTGCTCTACACAACATTTAGTCAACTGAGTATAATATTATGCGTATTTATTATTTATAAAAATTTTAACTCATAATAGTATAGAATCGTGTATCTTACATTCTATCAATAGTAATTAACTTTTTTTTAAACTGTTTTATTGATATTGTTTTTTTATTTTTTTATAGAAAATTGTGGTCGAAGAAACAGATAAGGAAAAAGAAGATGTACTTCGACAAAAACGTGCAGGTCAAAAACGTTATATGTTTGATGTAGTCTTCGGGGAAGATTCTACTCAAGTATGTATTGTAATAATACTTAGTTAAAATATTAAAAATTATAAAAAAGCACGTAGAAAATGATCAAATTTTCAGTGGGGTAATAAAAACCTTCAACATAATTTTTTTATAAATATCGCCNTTTTCAGTGGGGTAATAAAAACCTTCAACATAATTTTTTTGTACGTCATTTTTGTCTAGTCGTGGGTACAAATGAACGAATTTGTTAATAATATTCAACGTCAAAACACATTTCTTGATTTTAACTGAGTCCTCCCAGGAGGATGAAAACGGGAGTTCCCGTCGGAGTATCGTTGGTTGACGCAGTAAAAGGTAACCTCTAGATTCATAAAAAATATGATCTCTACATCTTTATCTTAATCTAGTCATGTATCACAATAAATTTCGCTGTAACATTGTAAATTTCAAAATTTCAAGGTATTGCATTTTTATTCTTTGTACTTAATTACATACATCATTTTTAATTTTTTACACTAAAATATTCTGGACGCTTAATTTGCAATATTATACTAAATTCACCAAATTAGAACAAGATAACCATCTATCTGAAAAATGACATAAGTATCCGCCATTAGCTCATTAATATACTTTACCATGTTAAATTTGAAAATAGATTAAATAAAAAACGAAATGTTATTTATAATGTTGTTTTAGGATGAATTGTACGAAAAAACAACTAAAAGTTTAGTTCAAGATATACTTGTTGGGTACAATGCTACAGTATTTGCATACGGAGCAACGGGAAGTGGAAAAACACATACGATGGTCGGTCATGGTGGAGAAACTGGAATTATGGTTAGAGCTATTAGTGATTTATTCGATACAGTTGCCAAAAATTCTTGTCGGTATACGGTGAGTAATATGTTATTTATTATAAATGAATAATTTAAATTCAAACATCTTTCATAGTATAACTTACTTAAGAATGAGTTTTAATTAATGTGTCTAATGGATAGGTCAAGTTATCATACTTGGAAATATACAACGAAAATATTCGAGACCTTTTAAACCCATCTTCTGGATTCTTAGAACTTCGTGAAGATTCGTCCCGAAATCGAAATATTCAAGTTGCTGGTCTTTCTGAAGTCATAGTTGTTACTGTTGACGAAGTTATGGAGTTACTAAATCAAGGAAACCGACAAAGAACAGTAGAACCCACAGGGGCTAATAAAACGTCTTCCAGAAGTCACGCTTTACTTAGCGTCACGGTTAGTAAGTCATCCAGAGCATCAACAGCAGTACGACAAGGCCGGTTATTCATGATAGATTTGGCTGGTTCAGAAAGAGCAAGTCATACAAAGGTAAACAAAAACATATCTTATAAGATATGTTTATCTATAGTCTAATAAAATCTATATTTAAATGTCTATCTATTGGTAGACTATTTAACTTATCAACGACAATATTTTTAAATCAATATTGTAATAAAGTATAAAAAAAATTAATTTAACTATAGAATCGTGGAAAACGTCTCAAAGAAGGAGCGCACATTAATAGATCTCTGTTAGCTCTTGGAAACTGTATAAACGCTTTAAGTGGAGGAACAAATCCAAGATTTGTGAACTATCGAGATAGTAAACTCACAAGATTGTTACGAGAATCTTTAAGTGGTAATTGTCGAACGGTAATGATTGCTCATGTTAATCCTGCTACAATCCATAAGGATGAAACACGAAATACATTAATCTATGCAGCAAGGTTAGACAAAATTAATGTTATTTAATAACCACAATGAAGTTTCATTCGTAAGCGAATTTTAATATAAATACTTTACATTTAATTTAACTTACTAATCCAGCAAAGCTAAAATAGTTAAGCATGCTCATTGACAGCGCTAAACCTACTATTTAGGTAAAAATCAATAAAAAAAACCCAGCACAGGGGGGTCACGGCACAGTGGTGACGTGGCATAGTTGGATCAAGTATAATGATATCTGACAGTGATTAAAATCACTATAAAAAAAAACGCTTCCATGCAAATTTTTAGATAGTGTTTAATTTTAAAAAATTGGTGTATTATTCCAAAAGCTACATGATCTGCTAGTTCTTTATTAATATCCTGATTAAGATAAAGTATGTCGAATGAAAAAGATATTATTTCTCATAAAAAAATTGTGTTGATCTATACATTTTTTTAAAAGTTATAGCCTTTTAAAGTAAAAAATGTAAAATATAAAATCAAGAAATTTCACACAAAAATAGCATTCATTAGCCATTTTCACCACGAAGATAAGTCCAGGGGTCAAATTTTTTTTTTCAAATTAAAGTATATTACATTACCTTTAATTTAAGATATATATAAAAGTTTCAGACCTTCCGGAACATTTTCAAAAGTTAATTTTTTGTAAAAAAGTTGTCATTTTAAATCTCCTCCTGTGGGCAGGTTAAGTGTCAGATTTACAAAAAAATATATACCAAATGATAGATAAAGACATCAAGCATCTATAAAATAAAAATTATATTGATATGTTTATTTTTGAAAAAGTTACGGCATTTTTTAGTAAAAAAAATTGAAAAATTTCGAAAATTAGCGATTTTTAAATTTGTAATTTTTTTGAAGGTTTTCACCATTTACGGGGAACGAGGGAAATTTTTTCAATTTTTGAGGGTAATGTCTTCGACTAGATACGATTTGTGATCTTTTGGCGTATCGTTAAAAGAAATCCGTTCAGTGAGAGCTGAGAAAAAGTGGTAACATACACAAAAAAAAAAATAATAATAAACACATCTTAGTAAAACCAATACCTTCTCAGCTTCGCATCGAAGCTAAAAGACACAAAAGTACGTTAATTGCTTCAAAAGTGAAAATCATATCAATTTAAATATATAAGCATTCATTAAAAGGTAGAAAAAAGAAAAGACTTTGCTATTTCAAAATAATATTTATGCAACCCTAAAATATGGTTCTTTGCAAACTTTGAATTTTTACTGTTTTATCTATTTAAATTAAAAAAATAAATATTATTTACCCTTATTCTTGTCTAAAAAAATGTGTCAATCAAGTGATATTCCAATTATTATTAAGTATTTCTAAAATCTCGCAAAAATAATTACAGGGCAAATGGAATTTCTCATAAAGTAGAACGAAATGTATTAAACGTTTCTTTTCAAGTAAATCAATATAGGTCAGTTATAGCTGATCTGCGTAACGAGATAACAAGACTGAGAACTAAGTTGGATGAAGGCAGAGTTAAATCATCGATCGGTCATTCATGTGATACACCTGTAAATAGAATTCGAGATCAAATAGTTAGCACATTTCGCGAACAAATGAAATTGAGGTGAGTATAATAGTCTTATAAAAATTGCATCGTTAAGTAAATGATTATTAAAATATTTTAGACGTAAACTAATGGACATTGATGGTCATTTACTATCATTGGGCGTGGAAGCTGAAAGGCAACATCAAATTATCAGTCAATGGGAATCAAGAAACAATAAGCTGTACTGCCGGAGAATGAGTGACCATCGCAGACCGGGTACTAGAACTTCAAGTAGTACAGCACGTTCGTTTCAATTTGTTTAGACATAAATGTATTAAATTAAAAAATCATTTGACAAACAAAAATTTTTATTTTAGATTATTCAGATAATGAACAACAAAATATGCATCAAGCATGGTCAGATCTTAGTTATATAGAACACGAACAAGAAAGGTATGTATCTCTAAGATCAAAAACTGTAACTGAACTTGATGCAGTACGACAACAAGCAGTTGCTTTAGAAAATGTAAGTTCTTCTGGAACTAATTTATAACTCATACTAGTAAGTTGTTAGTTGGATTTAAGAATTATAAGTTAATTTATTCTTAGAATTTACCTAAACGACTTGATTCGGAAACGGAAAGAGAGCTGCTTTCGTTAATTTGCAGAGTACATGAATTGGAAGCTGATAAAATGGCTTTGCAAGGAGAGCGATTAGTCGAGTCATATGAATTACGAAGAAGAGGAGATTTATTATACAAAATGCAAAAACAACAACGAATCACTGATGATATCATAACTAAACAGAGACAAATTATTGAAGGTAAAAACTATATTTGAAAATTTTAATAATTATTGAAAATTATTAAAAATAGCATAGATAATTATAATTTTTAGGTCAAAACATTCCCTTACCTATGGATTTGAAAGAACTTTACAGATCTTACCAGCAAGAAATACATTCTAATTCGTATAATGCTGATGTCAACACAATACCTTTGTCTACTATACATTCGGTTAATAAAAGGTTAGCATTTATAGACCACTATTAATAAGAAGCCTCTGTGTTAGCGTTCTCGTGAAAATACGTCAATACGACAAAAGAACTATCCTGTCACTATTAGAATGTTACTTCGACAATTTTTCTTTTTACTAAGCCACATACTTTCATTAATTTATAAAAGAGTTGAATCCAGAGACATTTAAAAACGAAATATGTAAATGAAGTATTCATGTTGAAATAAAACATATATTATCCTTAAAGATAGACATGGTTAGTCCACTCTACAGATTGCGTGTTAAGTATCAGTGACTTTTTTAAACAAGGTTATATGCATAGGCATATACCTTAACTAGACCTTTACGTAAGACCTAGATAAAAATTAGATCAAGTTCTTAACTTTTTTTTTGACGTATTCTAGTAAAACTAATAGAACATAATCAATCTGTTGGAGAAGAGACTTTTCAGTAATTTTTTATGGTTTTTTGAGTTTAATATTTTTTTATTTTTTAAATTTTTAATTTCATTCAATTAATTAGCCGCTAGTGATCAATTTTTTTTTAATTATATTTATCTAATAATAAATAATTGTTTCTTATAATTTTCTGAATTTTTTCAAAAATGAATGTGATTTTTTTTAATTATTAATTTTAAGGATAAAACAGTGCAACCAACACCAAAATGTACAAAACAAAATAAAAATATTTGTTATCATTATTATTTTCTTCCTATTCAGTTTTAAAAGTTAAAAATCGATTTTTAAATTTTCCTTGCACTTTTAACTTGTCCATCTTTGGTTATTAAACCAGTAAGAAATTCTACACGCTATCTTCTACTTTTTAGGATTTTTTCCTTTTTATTATGGCTTATGTAAAATTCTTACATTTTCATGTTCAATTTCAACAATTTTGTGACATTATTCCTGTCGAACCGATGGTTGGGTTTACGCTTATTTACTGAAAAAGATCTTAAATATTAAATAGGTACAAGCCGTAATTTTGCTTATGGTCATATAACTCCTTTGATAATAAAAATATTTAATACATAATTAAAGCAATGACACTTGTAACAATTATTTTCAGTGTTTAATACACTAATATGTTTTTAATTGATTAATAAAAAAGATCAATAACCTCTCTTGTCAATGACTGCGAAAGATATTTTGTCAGAAATAGTCCAGAATGGAACCAACTACTCTTAAGAGAAGCCCAATAACTTAATCTCTTATCATAAAACTCGCATTAATTTATAAATTTTAGAATAGGATCGAACTCGCTCATATTGCTACTACTGTCTCGTATAGTATTTTACAAACAATCATAAGTACTGGAATTTACTCTGAAACTGTGATTTAATATTTAGCAAATTACTAAATTTGAAAGCTTGTCATATTTTTTCAACAAATGTTTCCGCAAAAGAAAACATTATATTCAAAATCTAGGAAAAAACAAATGGATTAAAAAAAAATTTAATTCTTGAAAGGAGTAGTAAATTGAATTTTAGCCAGTATTTTAAAGCCTTAATATACAAAAAAAATTAATCTGTGAGAATGATAAAAGCAGATTTCATTTTGAGCCTCGACATCAAAATCTTGATTTATTATTTAAATATTATTTATTTTTAATTAACTATTAAATGAGTAAACAATATTAAGCTTCTCTCTCCTGAAATAAATTTCTGTATACTTAACTGATGCTACTAGATACTTGTTCTTTGATTGACGTTTCTAAACATATTGTAAATTTAAAATATTTTTGTAACAACAAAAATTGACATTTGTTGTTACAAGAGTTGTTATAGAAAATTATTATTAATAATAAAAAAAAATAGATTAGAAAACACAAGTCTGAAAGACAAAAGCAAATCTAATGATCATTATGTACCAAATTCTATAACACCAGAATCGAAAATAGAGACTATGTCAAGGTATTCCATTTTTCTATAAAGCTTTATTTTCTAATTGTCTTCTGTTGACATTAAAATCACAATTAAAAGATATGTCACATGGTTTTTTGTTCTTTAGTAATGAAAGTATAGACGAATTGGATTGGGACAAGTCGACAAAAAATTTACCTCCAATAAGTCAACAAGCATCGTATACTAGAGAAGAAGGGCCATCTCCAGTTCCGGCATCTGTGTTATTTCCTCCCATTTCTGCTCGTTTTCGTTAAAAACCATATAATAATTATATGCATATTATATTTAAAATAAATAAAATTAATAAATAATCAACTATTTAGTTTTTAACTGTTCAATCATTTGTAAGTTTATTTTTAACAAACATTTGTTATAAATTTATATGATTTTATAGATGCAATTTGAACAAAATATTTGGTTAATCAAACTTAAGTTCTTACCTCTATAAATCATATTTCTTCATAAATGTACATGTTATTTTAATAATTTTTTAAGGGATTTGGTAGGATATTGAGAGAAGAGAGAGGTAAATTTCCTCAGAATACTCAAAAGTGTGATTTCATCAATCAAATATTTACAATTTGAAGATAATTTTTAATTGAAGAAAAAAAGGCCTACCTTTATAGCTTAAAAATATTATGTATAAGTTTTATAAATTATTTCTTCAATACACTAAGAACATTTAATGATAAAATAAGTATCTTAAATAAATAAAAGATAACAAATCACCTGAATAGTTATAGCTAAAAATAATTATTATAGGGTGTTAAATTCTTAGTAATATAATTTAAGTAAATAATATTATAAATAATTAATGATATTTAAATTAATATTACCTACTTTTTCATATAAAACTATAAATATTACTAAATAAAATGGATATTAGCATATTGAACATTTTAAAATTAGTTTGAATAGCAGAGGAATAATGGTAGACAAAAAAACATAAATTTTAATTAACTAAGATTAATTTAAATATCAACCATTATGCTTCAATGTCATTGAACTTCAAAGTGTTTATAACTAAGAATATTGTTATCTTTTGAAAATTAGTAACAAAGTTTAAGATATAAAGAAATACTCAGAGCAAAAACAATTTACATTTTATTCAATTTATGTTAACATTGTTTTTTGTATAATAGGTTATATAATTTTTCATAATTGTTTAACTATGATAAATCTTTAGTTATTAGGATTTATTAAAAACTTATAACTTTCACACTATTTATTAATCCACAATCATAACAAAATGTTGGTAAACATTTAATAACAAAAGAAATTAATTAAACAATTATTTTTAAACTTTTAATTAAGTTAACAAAAATTCTAGTATAAGGTAATTATTATTGATCAACAAATTAAATATTGCACATTATCAACAACAAAATTAGTAAAATTTGAATTAGTATGGTATAGTTAACAATAAATTTGGAAAAAAATTTAACAAAAATCATATTTCAACAAAAAAAAGTTATGGAATGGTATTTTCTATACATTATAAATTAAAAATTAGTAATAGTAAAATGTCATATTATAAGCCTAAAAGTAATGTTGATTATTTTTAAATATAATAGAATCTGTGTATTAAGATGACAATGATTAATTTAAAAGATATTTAATAAAACTACAAGAGCATTGTTATTTGTTAAACTAGAGAGCACAGAAAATGTTATTGAACCTTTAAATACATAAAAATAGACTATTTGTTGAGTATTTAATAACAAAAGTTTTAATAAAAAAAAAAAGTTTAAAGTAATATCTTCTATCTCAAAAATACTAATTTTTATAAAGTTATGCTTATATGAGAAGTTAACAAATTATAAAATAATTTACTAAATGTCAAAGGAAGTGAGAAATTAAAGATTTTGGTAATATTTTAAGCAAAAAAATGTAGTTAAAAATTAAGAAAATAAATGATCATTTTATAAAAGAATAAATTTATGAGTTTTATTATAAAAACCTTTTTTATAACAATATGTTAAATTTAGTTAAAATACCAATTTCCTATGAAAACCACATAAATCTAGTAACCGCGTCTAAAACTCACCATTTAAATTAATACTATTAATACAATTCTTTAAGCAACCAAATATTTCAATTTAAAGAATACAAAGACAGTTACATAAGTTAATTTTCAATTAGAAATATCAAATCAACATAAAATGAAAATAATTATCATCACAATTTTTCTTTGATTTAAATTTATATGACTAGTATTAATTACTGGCATCTATTAAACTTTATGATAGCCAAAATTCAATCTAAGTTGTTCTAAAAATACAAAAGTTAATATTGTCTGAGGGGCCAATCTAACAAAAGCAGGAATATAGCCCTAAAAAATATGTATATAAATATAATTATATTTCATGTTTACTATAGCTAATTTTTAAAAATAACTTACTTTGAAAAACCCCATAGGTCCTAGCTTTGCAGTGTACTTTACCAAATCAAGCATACCCTGAAAATTGAAAAAAAAAATAGTTAAAATTTTATTATTATTATAACCAATTACCAATAATAATTTCAACATAAAACTATGAAAATTTTATCTTATTTAATTATTTTTAGCATTGAGAATCTGTTGTTTTAACTATATGTATCCCAATGCACGCAGCTACTATTTAACCAATATTGCCAATCATGCATCAAAAGAACATGAATTACTTTCAATTAAAGTATTATTATCAAAAATTGAAAATAAACATTCTAATTTTTTTTTATTAGCAAAAATAATTTAAAATTTTTTTATTTTAAAATATTTTTTATTAAAATCTAACCAAAATTTTTTTTTTTATAAAAAACTGTTTTTTAATACTATTATATATTAAAAGAAACTTGAAGTTTTATTCAGAAAAATAAGTAATTCTTTCTCTAAAAATTTTACAAAACTATTTTCTAACGCATTGAATAATTTCATAATTGTGATGTTAATCACTGTCAGATTTTAAACTGGTGTTTACTATGCTGATTTCACTATACTGGATCCTGACTGTACTAGGATTTTTATTTTAAGCTAATAAAATTTTACAAAAATAAGTTAGCATAAAAAATGCTGTCCCACTTGCTATTATCCTATACTAAATATAAAATGATCTTCTAAAAACAAAATGTATTATTATAAAACAAATATATTTCTGACTGCATAAAATAATAAGCAAAGTTAGTACATTAAGTTAAAAATTAAACCAAATTATTAATTTTGATGTAAAACTAATATTTATAATTGCTATGTACCGAAAATTCTCCAGGTTTAGCATTCATTGCACGTGTTTTTAAAACATCCAATGGTTGTGTTAGTGTTGTAGCAACAGCACCCTACAAAAAAAAAAAAAAAAAATTATAATAGAGTATTACATTTATTCAATTTTTGATAATTTAACTTACTGCAGTAAGACTTGACAAAAAATGTGTTGTAGAGTTATCACCAAAGAAACCAGTTGCTAATAACATTTGTTTGACTTGATCATAAAATGATAATTGACCAACAGTCATTAGCACTGCACGCATTGTTGCTGTTGATGCACCTGAAAACAGTCTAGTAAACCCTTCTTCTTTCCAAACTCTTATGAAGCCATCAAATGCATGCTTATAACTAAAAATGTATACATAAATTGTATTGAATTTACTAAAAATGTCCTCATATAAGAGAAGTTTAGAATAAGGATGGGCAACCCAAAGTAGTTGGGATAAAGACAAGGAAAAAGAAGAAGATACAAGAAAAGTTTAGAAATTAAGGTACAAAACTACTATTGACACCATTTATTTAGGAGTACAATATGCTTTAACTATGAGCATTACAAGTATGATCAGAATATATAGCACCTTATAAGGATATTTTAGAAAAATGTTTATAGCTCAAAAATAAACTTAACACAAAATTGTAAATAGTATAATATAAAATGATAAATACTGTAAGCTACTTAAAATTTATTTATTTTCATTATTCTGAACAAAATTTTTTATTAACAATTTTATTTAAAAAAAAACTATTTTAAGCTTTAGAAAATATTTGTATACTATGCTGTAGTTTGATCACAGCAGTCATGCACCATAACTGCACCACTGTTTTATAAATGCATGGTATCTATAAGCCACAGGATAATTTTTTTTTGAAAGTCTGTATACCTATTATGTAAATCCATTTTAATAATAAAAATAGGGGGTTTATTAATTTGCTTGTTTGATAAAGAATAACAACACAGTATCAATTGTCATAGAGAAGGTCTAAGACCATTTGCTTTACCGCCAATCAGTATAAAATCATAAGCTTTTTCATAAAGCAAATGGTTCAAGACCATCTCGACTATAATTTAAACTGCTATCATTTTTCATCCAACAGGTCTACTAGATCATTTTGATAATAAAGGATTGATTTATATATATGTACAGGTATTCAGGGTGATACAATATTGAAAAAAAAGTTATTTAGTTAAATATATTTCTTGATTTATCAGCTGTAAATAAATTTTTAGCATAATTCCTTATAAATTATAGAGGTGTTAACTTTATACTTATAAAATGCAATTTACACATTAACTAACTTATAAATTAGGAAATAATCTAATTAAAAAGAAAATGAGGGGTCAACAATTTTTGAACCAGCACTTCAGAAGTTATGAACAAGAGAAGTTTAGCAAAGAAATGTCTAATGGTATAAATAGTCATAACCATGCTTCTTCAGTCTTTATATTAAAATTTTCATAACTTTTTTCATCTCCTCATACTATTTTTATCAGAGCTAACAAAACTATATATTAAATTTTAACATTTTGTTTACTTTATTGTTTTATTTTAAAGGAATATATATGAACAAAAATTGAATTTAAAAACAATTACTTTCGCCGACTATCCACTGGTAATTTAACATCATTTTGCATTCTTACATTAATCATATCAGCTGGTGTACCAACAAAACCTCCAGCAGCTCCAGCTACTGAAGCTAAAATAACAGTTTTATAAAATGAAACATTTTCTCCAGGTTTTGTCATAGCCTGTTTACCAACCTATAAAATAATACATAGAATATTAAATAAACAAATTTCAATACAAAAAAAAAATTGTAGAATAATAAAATTAAAAACAAACCTCATATATTCCAAATCGTACAGTAGAATATGATAATTGACGACATAATGAAGCTGAAATTCCAGTATATAAAGAAAACACACCTTGTTCCTTAACTATTTTTATAGCTAAACGGCTCACAGATAATTTTCCTTCTTGTTGTGTTTGAAGATGAACCTAAAAAATAAAAAAATAAAATAAATAATTTCAATTTTATTAGATCAAGTATCTAACAGTAATATTACTTTAAGAAGGTCTAGTGGATGAGTGCAACATGCAGCACCAGCAGATCCTAGGCCGCCAAAGTACCACCTAGCCAGTTTCTTACTATTGTCATTTGTAGACATTTTGTACTAATTAAACTTTGAAAGTATCTTAACAATAAGAAAAGTTTAAAAAAATAATTAAGAAAATAAGCAAGATCTGAACATTAAAAATTTGAGGTATCAACTTAAAAAAATAATACATAAATTATCCATAGGTTGTTCTAAATGTTCTTAAATAAATGAACATAAAATTTTCAACCTCTCCCATCTGAGTTCAAACTAGTTTGATAAAACAATAAACATTAATTAGTTCATAAATTATTAGAGGTAATGAATTTTTGAATGGAAGAGTTGAGTAGAATCAAGGGCGAATATTGATAGCACAAGGTTAAAGTTATTAAGTTGATAAGAAAAAAGTATATTCAGAAATAATTCATACAGAATGATATTTGCAAGTATTCAAATTACTGATAACACATCTTTAAAATATACTTGTAACTCAACTTAATGAATTTTATGCAATAGATTAATTAAGTATCATGCGAGAATATTAACGTACTCAGCAATTTTAGGCCTATGGAAAATGACCGCCCTTAATACTAAAAATTTTTAATTTAGCTTGAGAATTTCAAAAAATTAAAACTTAAAATACTCTTCTTTATATTTACATACAGTGCCATCCAGAGGGAAATCGTAGGGTGTCACATCCCCTTATTTGATAAAATTTAATCGTTTTAGTAAGTAATTTTTTACCAATGAGAATGCTACCAAAATATGGTTATTTAAAAAATTTCGATCAATTTAAAAGAAAATTTCGATTTACAAAAATAAATTTTGGGCCCTCATTATATTATTAGCTTTGGAAAAGTCATGTTTACATGTTTGTAGATACAAAAAGAATTGGCCAAACAGCTAAAATTTTTTTTTTTAATTCTGTTATGCTTTTGAAATAAAAGATTTTTAGTTCAGATACATAGCTAAGAAATTATTGGTTTTACTTTGTAATGATTTTTACTTTCAATACACATGATTACTCTTCTTTTTGTGGATCGAATTTATCGATTTTCATCGATTGATGTACTGAAATTATACATTAAAAATCTATTTGAAACTATCAGCATCATAATTTTGAAAAAATCCCCTTGATTGTTAAATACAGTCAATGATTGATGTAACACACTTTTTAAATTAAAAAATAAACTGGATTGGTTGTTGCAAAATGTATTGATTATATTTCAGACATTTATCTTGTCGACTATATACATTTTTTGAATATCTAAAACTAAGGTACTGTGGGGTAGGAGCGTAATTTGAGCCAAAATTGTATAGTTTATTTATGTTGCTTTTAGAGTTTCTGACTTCCCTTTGACCAGTTTTGAGTTTTTATTCTTATAAAAATAAATTTAATTTATTCACTTGCAAACCAAATAACTGCATGCTTTTCTCATTAGGGACGAAGTGCACATTGTATAACACAAATACAAACTGTACCGACTCGTGCTATATTCTTCTTAAATGAATTAAAATGCTGTAACTCAATAAAAACTGACACTAAAGTTATCAACCCATAATTTTTTTTGTAAAAAAAAAGGATAAAAAATGGTTGTTCTATAATTTTACAAACATGTATATTTTTATTTTCTAATTAAAATTACCATTTATACGTGTAGAGTACCAAATAAATTGAATACATTGCAAAACTTATAATTTCTTTTTTATAATATTAAACCTTTTTGAAATACGGTATTTTCCTTAATAAAAATAATAAATAATTACTAGTATTTAAGTATTTAAAAATAAAAAGTACAATCCAAGCATTGAAGGAAAATCATTAAATTTTAAATATATACTTACCTTAATTAAAAGGACTTGTATTAACAAATTATTCATGAAAAATAATATAAATCTTAAAATAAAAATATGTTGCACTAGAGATTTCAATTATTATTGGTTTGAAGAGAAACCTTTTGTGCAAAGGTTTTTCTTCTCCAAATTTCTTTTTCCATAAAAACAAAAATACTTCGACATACATAATAGTATTAATAGGAATAAACCAAAGGCTATGTTATCGTTTTTTTTTTTATAATAAAAATATTAATAGAGAAAGTTTGGCTATTATTAGTTCTTTATGAAAGAGTGGTAGCATTTAGACAAGCAAACGTAAATTTAACTATGGACAATATATTAATCTTCGTTAAGAGTGGCACTCAGTTAATAAACATTTATTTTTTAATTCACTGATCAACAATTAATATAACAAATTATTAAATAACTATACAATATTATGCTTACACATTGAAGCAATAATTAATAAGAAATTATCATGGAACACCATGTAATTTGAAAGACAGCAAAATATTTTTGAGATCACAAAAATTTTAATCCTTTATTTTGTCAGAGGTCGCAAGCGTGACTAGTAATTACGCCCCTGTTGTGATTTAAAAAACATTAAATTTATTGTTTTTCAATATTTGATAATGTGTCCAAAAATATGTTCTCTTATAATTCAATAGCTTAGATTTTTATCAGTTAGTAACAAGATATTTAGTTTTTTAACCTTAAGTAGTTAAAGATTGAACAACTTTTAGTATGTATCTATTATATACACTTGATTTTTATCATAGAACAACAATTCTGTGATAAATGTATGTATTTCTGATAACAATTATGCAAATAATGATAAAGAATTTAAATTTAATAACATGGCAGTTTATCATTGTTTTTTTTTATGGAATCCATAGGTACATTTTATAGTTTTGTTTTACAATTATCTTTTTTATATATTTTTGTTATAAGGCAATGATACAACGTAATAATTAATTTCTCATTTTGAACTTGTCATTCTATGTCGAATACTAGTACTATGGAAGAACTCAGTCTGGTTTTAAAACCAGATAATGAAGATCGAAAAATAATATTTATCGAAGAAACGGGTACTAGTAAAGGTGATATTATCATTTCATTTTATTTATGGAGATTATTTAATAGAACTAATCATACAATTTCCATGATCGGTTTTCGAGATACCTTCGGTCATTATCACAGTCTTGGTATGAAATTACACTATAATTTACTGATAATGGTAAATAAAAATCGTTTTAAGTTTTCTGAAGGCAATTTATCAGTAAAATTTTTATACAGTCATTTAGAAAAACTCGTAGATGAGAACAAAAATGGTCCTATTTATTTAATTATTGATGACATTAGTATCCTTATGTTGATGAATGAATCTATTGAAAATATTATAGAATTTTTAATCTATGTTAAAAACCTTGAACGTATATATTTGATTTTTGGTTGCTGGAGAAATAAAGTTGATAACCTATCCAAGAGATTAGCTGCAGCAGCATCACACTTATCAGACTTAAAAATAGCATTAGCTCCATTAGCAACAGGTTTTTCTGATACTGCTACAGGTACTATGAGAATAACTTCTTTTGAATCAATATTCAATATTAACGATGTTTCTTACTTATATAAACTTTTTGATAATAATTTAACATTGAAACTTAACTCAGATAAAATAAGATGAATATTTTAGACCTGTATAAATAAATAACTTTTCTTAAATTATGTAATTTTAATAATAAAGAAAGTTCTACTAAAATTATTTGTATTATATTTATTTAAAAATATATCTAAGAAACAAACATATGATATAAATAATTTTATAAATAATAAAATTATATAGAAAAATTGCACTGAAATTAATTTTAATATCACATATTCATATTCTATTAATATAACTATTTTGTACAATGTATTTAATATATTAACAATATTTTAAAAGGTTTTTATCAAGAGAGAAGTTTATGGTTGTATCATTTTTTTAAAATAAGTTTAACTGAATGAAATAGTTTTAAAATTTTTGAAATAAATTTGCTTTGAAGATCTTTATAGTAATTGGAAATAAAATCTCAAATAAATATTTGAATTCAATAACATAAAAGATAAATAAGTCCATTAATTAAAATATAATTGAGTCGGTTTGATAATAGTATTACTAATATTATTAATAAACATAGGAACTTAATGAATTTATAAAACTTGTTTGGACTTCTTCTGAGACACTATTCAAAAAAAAAACTATATATTCGAAGATAAAAAAAATAGAAGGACTTTATTTTATACCCCTCGGGATACCATCACAATTATATATTACTATGACCTGAAAGATTTATACTCAAAGTATTGATTTGTATAAGTATATATTATACATCTTAAATCATAGTATTAGGCATAATAAAAATTATGTATTTTTCTTAATGACTAATGCTTGACATATACTTTTAATTAAAATTTCACAGCTTGGTTGTAGCCATGGTTCACCATCAACTTGAACAGGTAATTTCTGTAGCAACTTTATCTATATAAAATTATATAGAATACAAATACAAAAAATCATAAAAAGTCATAATACAAAAAAAAGTATAGCCAAAGAAGAATTAATTTACCCGAATAACTGATGCTTGACCAATTCTTATTGGTTCAGATAAACCTAATTTTAATTGAGCCATATGCATTGGAGATCGTATTCCAAGAACTTCTAACAAACCATCATTAATACTTTGTTCTCCAAAATCATTTCCATCACTATTACCCAATTTCCATAAATCTACACCAGCAGCCCATGAATTTATGTTGACAATAACAATAGATTCAAGGTCAGCTAGAGTTATTTTTTGATCATTAATATACAATTCAATTTTTTTAGAAAGACCTTTACACTGCTGTTCTAAAAATTGTTGTGTACCACATCCCAGATAAATAATTTTATTAAAAAGTGTACTATTAAATAAATAAAAGGGAGATATTCTAGTTTGATGAAAATTTAAAGCAATTTGAGCATCTAAACCTATTCCTATATAGTTGTACATAGTTATTGAATTAACAACTTTAATTTTCTTTAACACATTGCACATTACATCTACTTTCCAGCTAAAAACAAAATTTAATTCAATAATTAATTTTTAATTTTATTTAAATTTTTTTTTTTTTTAAATCAGGAGGGCATAGAAAATTTTCCTTGTAGATAGGGAATAAGAATACTTCCACAGCCCTTCTGCCAGTAGTAAGAGACGACTAATAAAGTTGTGTCTAAAAGTATGAAGAGTCCTGAACAGAACTTAGGCGGATTGTCTTATCTCAAATGTACAATATCAGGGACAAAAGATTAGAGGAAATAAAGTAGTTAGAAGCAAAGAAGGCCTAAAAGTTAAGTGTTTGATACCAGCAGGATAACTTATACTTTTTTTTGATACTTGCAGAAAAATGTCTTTAATTACTTTTATTAAAAGTATAGTTGAATTTAAATGAATAAAAATGAAAAAGTTTATTAATTTAAAAAATATATAGGTTTGTAAAAAAATTTTAAGGAGACTTAATTCTCAGTTTTATTATTTTTATATCTCTATGTCCCACTAATTCTTGCCAATATGTTAATAGAAAATATCTAAAATGCTCACCGATCAAATTTAACAATTGATATATTATTTATTGAATCCAATATAGACGACGAATTAATATTGCGAATATTTGCTCCCCAACCTAATACTCTTGATAAATCATTTCCAGTACCTAATGGAATTATTCCAACAGCTGGATCATTCTAATAAAATAATATAATTTATATTGACTGTAGTTACAAACTTATATTTTAAAAAAGTTAATTTTTATTTTGATACTTCAAGTTTGAGATTATAAATAGAATTGAGAACTCCTGCCACTGTTCCATCACCACCTGCTACTAATATGTATATATTATTTAAAGTAGAATTCTTCAACCATAATAATACTTTTTCAGGTGGATTTTCTATAACATCATATACTTGTATGGGATTAAGAATACGTCTGAAGTGCGACATTATTACAGATCCATCATTATTTCCAGATTTTTTATTTACTAAAAATAAATTTTTATTGCATAATTAAAATAGATAAGTAATCAAAAGATACTGAGATACCAAAAATGAATAAAGGTGTCCATATTGGCCAACTGGTACAAAGTACTTTTTCAATCATTTGTTTAGAAGTGTTGACTTTGTACTTATTATGTAATTTGACACAAAAAGGTGGCAATATATACTTTTTGTATTTACCAAAATCACATTTCTAATAATCCAAATATTTTCAAATAAATAAAACACAATATTGGAATAAAATAAATAAATATTTATAAGTGAGCAAGCTCTATAGGTAAGAAGGGAATATAGGCAAAGCCATATCCACAATATTTTTTAGTGGGGTCTAAATATGTATGTAAAAAATGCAAGAATTTTTTCCAAATTAGTTTTGAATAAAACAAACACTGTTAAATATTATGAAATTTAAAATTATTAAAATTTTTTTTTGAAAAGTCAAAATTGACTGATATAGTGCCAATTTATTGAAAAATACATATTTTTTTATTTGTTTGTATCTCTAAAAATATTAGAAATGGAAAAAAAAAGATAAATAGATAAAAACAATTGTTTTTGAATGTAAAATAAGAATTTTTTTTATGAAAATTTTAATAAAATATTACATTTAATAAGGTAAAAAATTGATTTTTTCATTTTCATTTTCATTTTTCTTGATGTCAAGGAGTGTTACAAATTTTTATGCTTCTTATTCATTCAAAAGTACACCCACAAAGCTGTTGTACATAATTAATTTGGAAAAAATTGATGCATTTTGAATTGTGCTACATAATTTTACATGAGTGGCAATATATGTATAGGATTGGTTTGAGTTTGTACATGTGTAACACCAGGTTGTGACATCTTTAATGATTTAGCAAATATTTTGTATTACTTTTTTTAAAAATTTTTTAGTTTTTAACTAAGTTAAAAGCATATTATTCAGTAATTGCCTCTAATAAGAAAAAAATTAATTTTTATTTTTTATTTTTTAAATAGTCATTTTCTATATACATTTCTAACTCTTATTTAAGAAAGTTTTTTTAAAAATTTTTTGGGTAATTACATTGTTTTTAATGTATTTTTGAATAATAATTATTAAGGATGATTATTATCCTCATAATTAATTCAAGTTTTTTTTAATAATCTGCCCGAGTACAGAAAGGATCAAAAGTACAATAAAATAGTAAAAAAAAATTTACCACATCTAAATATGATATACATCTTTCATGTGAAGTCCTTTGGCACCAGTTACATTGAAAAAAATTCCCTACAATATCAGATTCTTCTTCTGAACAATGCTCACAGATAACTGGGTATGATGTAAGTGCTAAATTAAAGATATATTAACTTATAATGAATTTCACAAAAAATAATAATGAATATTATTACATGTGACCCAATGATGAGAAAATGTTTTAGCTGACTTATTTGTACTAATAAGTTTGCATTTTATTCGCTTGTTCGCTTTTTTTAAACATATTAAATCAACAAGCAGGCCACAACTATCACAGTAACGTATATTAGATCCATGTATTAGAGTATCACATACACTACACACATGTGGATCCTAAAATAACACTTATAAATTTAATGACTAAAACTAGTAGGTTTAGTTCTTACATTTGATATAAATGAAGGTTTTTCAATCCACGTGTGGTACAAACAGTTTTTTTCACTGACATTAGTATAAGGGAATAATGACTTAAAAATTTTGATACTTGCAATAAAAACAACTGCAGCGATAAAAACAGTAATCAAACTTAACAATACTAAGTCATCCTCAATTGTATACATTATCATCTATAAATTAAATAAAAATAGTTTTATAATTATGTAATTATAATAATAGATAAAAATATTTCAAATAGTAAATAATCAAAAAGATAAAAATTGTCCATGAACTTACAAAACTTTTCAAATTATATTAATAACAAAACCTATTAGTGATGCGAGATTCACAGAAATGATGTCAAATCCTAATATGATACATAAAATGAAGGAAAATAGTTTGGCAGATAGTTTAAAATGTTTAACTAATTTTTATTTCAAAACCATTTCATATGATAGACAAAAAAACAGCAAAGTTGTTATAAATGATGGACGTCAGAATTTGAAATATGTGGAAACTATCATTGATATAACAAATATAATATCTCATTCAAATTCTTATCACAATTAATATTATTAAGTAGGTCTGTTTATTCTTGATTACGGGGATTGCCACGAACTGATAATGTTCCGATATTCATATACTCCGACAATGTAAAAAAATTCTCCGAATACATTTACTCCGACAACAATTACTGCGAATATCTCTTTATAAATATTTGAATTTTACTACAATACTTCAAATAGGACAATTAATTGATTTCTCTGAATAAAATTGACTCTGAAAATTGATAGTTTGCGAAATTGATTAATCAAATTTCGGAGTAGATGAATATTGTAGCAATTTAACATAAAATAGTGTTAAAATTATTTATCGTCTATTAACAATATTTATTAACATTATTTATTGTCATTTTTACCCTTTCTTATTGGCGCCTATTATTATAACCTCTAATATTTTATTAGTTATCGTGTTCTCATTTATTAATTGATAAAAAATATATATCTAGGGTACGTGTCACTGATTATAGGATTTGGCATTTTAACAGATATTTTATTAGGGTATTCGGTATTCCATTCTCTAAAACTGTCATTCCAATTAGTCTTGTATTAAATCAAACAAAAATATATAACTTAATATCATTTCATTTTGTATAAGTATTTTGTATAATCAAACAAAAATATATAACTTAATATCATTTCATTTTGTATAAGTCAACAAAATGAATTGAACCCAGTCTGAATTCGATCTTATGATTGATTGAAACCTGAAAGACTTGATGGGCCTTAGTCTCCAAAAAATCTGCCATAATCAACCTAAAATAAAATAATTTGTACTTCTTGTTGTATAGAAATATTTTTTAAAAATGTTAAAAAATTATGTAGTTAGAGCTCCCAAATATTTTGCTGCAATACGCCTATATTCTAGTCAATTTTAGCGAGCACAACATAGTTATAAGTTAACAGTGGACAATATTTAATAATTGATTATACATAAACTTACTTTACTCTTCTGTTAAAGTAATTAGATTTAAAATTAAACAACTCGAGTTAAAAATATACAGTCGATACAGTAAAATATGATTGAGATTTCTTTAATTAGTATGAGGATTATCTGAAGTTTTCACAGTTGTATACATAGAGTTAAAAATTTTAATTATAATCATAATTGCTAATCAAGCGAGTATTCATTTTTCTTGTTAAATAGAAATTAAATATAATAATGTAATATTGAAACAGTACAATTTTTTTTTTTAGGTATATACAAAGATATCTGGCATTACATTTTCTCAAAACATAGTACATTTCATTATTATACATATAATCAATTAAAACATTTTATTCTTTTGTCTAAATACATTTTATAATTATAACTTTTGACAATATCAATTTTTACTTTATAAATTACTAATATATTTGTATTTAATTGAAAAACGATTTGAGAATTTATATACAGTGGCCTAGCATTCATTGACACTTAAATAACTTTTGTGTTAGTTAAGTTATTTATGTTGTCAGTGAATGCTGGGCCACTCTGTATAGCGTAATAGTAACCTAGTAAACTAAAATTACTATATTAATTACACATAATAATTGTAAAATATTATGGATACATGAAAATTGTGTATGATTCCTATTCAATTCATAGGTAATAGGCGTTGTTTATACGATAAATATGTAATTTTATTTTGAAAATTAATTTTTATTTTTTAAGAATATTCGTACAACAACAGCATTCAACTTTTTTAAAAAGGACTATTTTGAATTTATAGAATAATACATTTGTATTTGAGGGTACACGTTAAGCTAATGACATGAAAACAATAGCAAAATAATCATCTTCTCACAATGATGATTTAATGCGGGCCTCCTAAGCCCGCATTAAAGTGGAGATTATTTTTTTATTGTTAGACCATTAAGGAAATCGTCTCAGTGGTCATTAAGAAAAATTGCCTTCAGGACTTTTAAGGTTTCAGATCGATACTGTACTCTTATTGAGATAGATTAGATCTCGCTAAAGATGAAAGTCATTTAAGCGAGGATCATCTTGGAAAAAATGCAACACATCAAAACACTGTCAAAAAAAAAAGTTTTACATTTCGACTATTTTCTTAATACATCTTAGATGTAATATAGATAGTAAATATTCAAATAAAAATATATATATAAATAAAAAAAAATTTTGATTATCGATTATGTAGGATTTTATACCACGTTTTATTTTTTTTTTAATGTTGGGGTAAAATCCGTTGTTGTTATGGTAACTTATAGTATCAGGTAACAATTTTTTGACCTCAATAATTTTTACATTGACTTAAGTACAAAAAAACTATAAATTTTTGTGTTCTAACTTCTTGAGTTTGTATTTATTTTATATAAAAAATACATCAAACTATGTTTTAAAATGTCAGTTTACTCATGTGAAAATTTGATATGGATTGCATTTAATTATAGACTCACCAGAGCATGTGTCAACCAATTATCAACATGTAGAATTTTTGATATTTATTAATCCAATTAGTTTTTTAGTTTTACATTATATTTTCTATGATTGTGGCTATCATACAACATTCTATTATTTGATTTTTGCTAGTCATTACAAATGCTGTATTTAATTACTTCATTTATTTATTTATTTATTTATTTATTCATTCATTTTTACAGACAAATGTCCAATTCACAATATAATTCAATGATAATAATTATATAATATAATATAACACAATGAAAATAATAATATAAACATAATAAAAGTTAAATAGAGTATATAGTAATAATAAAAAAAATAATAAAGGAAATTATTGACTATTTCCTACGGACATTAATATATTTATTGGGTCTTTTGACGCATATTTTTTGGTTATGTGAGGTATATAAAATAAATCATTGTTTCGGTTGCAATAGTTATTAACTTTAAAGTTAAGTTGGCCTAATATGAAGAGTCGTCAATCTTGTTATTTAATAATTTGGAGAGAAAGATTTTATATGATATGTTTCTACGAGATTTTAAAGTATCTAAGTATTTGATTATCAAAACAAAAAAAAAACCGTAGCACAGTAGAATCGCGGCATAGTTGAGACAAGTATAGATTATATATGACAATGATTAAAATCACTATCATAAGAAATACACTTCGATGTATATCTACAAATAGTGTTTAATTTTAAGAAATTAATGGATTATTTCAAAAGCAAAAGTTAATATTTCGTAAAATAATTGCTATTTTGAATCCACCCGTGGATAAGCAAAGGGTCAGTTTTTTTAAAAAAATTGTATCAAATAAAAACACGTAAGGTGTTTATAAAAAAAAAATTATTTTGATACGTTCTTTTTTCAAAAAGTTGTGACAGCTTTAAGTTACAAAATAACATAATGATAGAAGTTGATATTTTATACGAAAATTACATTATTTGTTCAAGTTCAACAGTGATTTTCACACAGAGATAAGTCGTCGGGACCTATTTGATAATTTTTGAAGAAGTTATAGTAGTTTTAAGAAAAAAATATCAAATATTACTAATTTTTTAAATTGTAATTTTTTTGAAGATTTCCCCCATTTATGGAAAATGAGAGAAATTTTTTCAATTCTTATGGGCAATTTCTTCAACTACATACGATATGTGATCTTTTGATGTATCGTTGAAAGTAATCGGTCCGGTGAGTACTGAGAAAAAGTGGCGTTAGACATTAAAAAAAAAAAAGCACTTACAGTAAAATTAATACTTTTCAGCTTCACATCGAAGCTAAAAAATATCAGCAAAGAGGAATCGCATTATAGTTTGAACAAGTATAAATAATATTTGACTGAGGTGAACATTACTAATATAATATAATATTATATATATTTATATAATATTTCGGTGTGTGCAATTTTACAATTATTTGTGTGATTGTAATTTTTCCAACAATTGTGCGATTGATTTTTTTTAATATTGTAGAACTCTTTAATGAGATATAATAAGATCTTTAATATGATATAGGTTAAATTATAGTAAACGTTCCGGAATTTGTTTACATGTGTGGGTGGTCTTTTTCAAACCATTCCTACGTAGGTTTTTTATTTAATTTAACTAACAAACTCAAACAAATTTTTATTTTCATTTGATTTTAAAATGTAAATTTAAAAAATGCTAGTTAAATTGCTCTCGTTTAATTATTTGAGTGAAAAATTATTTAGATATATCTAACAGGTTATGATAGACAAATCTAGTTTCTTAGGTGTTTTCACTTTGTAATAAACGTATTAATTTTCGCTTTTAGTTTCATTTGTTATTATGTTTTATTTATCTCATGTAAAAGTTTCCAATACAAAACCGGTTAACGCCTCCGGACTGATTGTATTTAATATTCTTACAGTATAAATTTTATATTAAATGTAATAATTTTAATAAAACTGAAATTTATATAAATTTATAAATAAAGATATTAATTTTTTAATTTTTCATAAGATATTTATAATGCATGATCTAACTTTTTTAATCAAGGCCATAATTATAATTTTCATTCATTGTAATAAAATACATATGTATTTTAACGCGATTTTACTTCTAATTTTTTAATTTGTTGTTTTATTCGATGGTGTCATTTAGGAAGTAGTTAATTTTTTATTCACTCATGATTATTAGAAATTTTATCTCCAAAATATGAAAATTATTTGTAAAAAAAAGAATATTTATGAAAATTTTTGCGTGTGAATTGGATTATTTAAAGTTTACCAACCCTAAAAAATAAAAATAAAATGACATTGTTGGTTTCATTATTTTTTTTTAAACATAATTTTTATATTTTAAATTCTTAATTAATATAAAATTTTATAGACTATTGAGACTTATTTGCTTAGATTGATCTCTTGTCCAACTTTTGCAAGCTAAGTATTCAAAAAGTTGAATAGTTGGAGTAAATTATTAATAAATATTATTTAAAAAATTATTATTATTATTTTATATAACATCATAAAATCGTATCAGCTATTAATTATTTTAAAATTATATACCTTTTGTATTACTTTATTTCCCTAG